TCGCATAGCGCCTCCCGCCCCTTTCGGCGCGCTTGTCGCGCGGATCGCACAGCCTGTGGATCTGAAGCTATGCTTTGTTTCCTCGTCCATTTCGACGCACACTTCACGCGGATCGCTCCACCGGTAACCCCAGATAGAGAGAGAGAGAGAGAGAGAGAGAGAGGGGGAGATTTTCTGCATGGCGCCGCCCCCTCCCGTGCATCTCGACGCACGCCTCTCGCGGATCGCGCCGCCTAGGGAGATCCACCTATCGCCTCAGTGGGGACAATCGAATGGCGCACTCTCGCTCATGTCGGCGCACATCTGACGTTGATCGTACCCCCGAGAGAGTTCCTCCAGCAGCCTCAGCGAGGGATTTCGCAGGGCGTTTTACCGCACATTTCGACCCCCCCCCATGATTAGCCCCCCTCCCTTATTTCGGCGCGCTCCTCTCACGCGCATCGTTTCGCAAGGGCGCTCCCTCTACAGCTCCAGAGGGAGATTTCTCGTAGCGTCCACCCGCTCCTTTCGACACACCCCTCACGCGGACCGCGCTCCTACAGCGAGGGCCAACTCTATCAATCCCTCCCGCGGCGCGCAGTATTTGAGGGGAGGCCCCCCCCCCTGCGTTACAGTGAGCTGCACCCGCCCGGAGGCCGAGACGAAGGAGAAGCGCAGGGATCGAGAAGCCAATCCGTCCGAAGTCTGGGAACGGGTCGTCGTGCTGGGCCCGTGGCCGCTCTGGCTCGAGAGCCGCCAGCCGGCCCTTTACACGCTGCTCTTCGGCGCGGAGGTGCCACAACGCGCGACCCCTGTGCGGTACAAGGACGCAACTGCTCTGGAGCGGGTGGAGGGGTGGCTGGGGAGGTGGGGGAGACGCGGGGAACAGCTCCTCCCTGCCAAGGCCTGTGCTGCGGACTGGTCCGTGCGCATCTCTGGGGCCCTCGTCCTCCTCCCTGCCGGTGTCGGGCCTCCGGCAGTGATCGAGGCTGCATCTGGCAGGGGGGGTGTAAGCGTCGGCGGCACAACAGCCAATCGGGGGGGGCGACCCCTGAGGAGAAGGAGGACGCGGAACGGGTGATACGAGGACGAGCAAGGGGAGGAGAAGAGAATGAGAGAGAGAGAGAGAGAGAAATCGAGGAAAGGAGAAGCCAGGGGGAGCAACAGGCACTACGGAGGAGGGCGGGAGAGGGGATGGGGAGAGAGTCGCCAACACGGCCGACGCACTCCTGGAGCGCTCGGGGGCTTCCTGGCATCGGCGGCCCCGCGGTCAGAGTCGCTCGTCCTTGTGCTTCCCCTCCTTCCCCAACCCCCTCTCGTCCACTTCCCCCCCCACCCCCGTCAAAAGCCCGTGGTACGGGAATGCAGTGCCGTTTTGAATAGATGCTCCGCGCGCGGATCATGTACTAAAAAAATGCAGGGATTTAGTATTAAAAACAACGATGAGTTCATGCATAAATTTATTCGTACATTAATCATGTATAAAAAATCCGATATTCTTGAAAATCCCATGTATTAAAAACTGCCCTGTACGGGTATGACCCTGGCCGCGCGCGGGCAGCCGTGCTCGCCCCCGCCTGCCTGCGGGCAGGCGCGCGTGGCGCGCGCGGCGTGGCAGCGTGCGGGAGACAGGCGGCAGCCAGAAGGCGAGAGGCGGGTCTGCCCCCCCCGGGGGGGCTGACGATGGTGACGATGGTGCTGTCGCGGGTGCCAGCCGCAGGGCGTTCGCGCTGACGTCTTTTGTGCCGTTCTGGTTGCCGATGTGGTCATGGGTGGCCGCCACAGCCATGACGCAGCTCACATCGCTGGATCGCGGTGGCTGTCTTCTCCTGGCTGCGTAGGCCAGCTGCCTCGCAGTGCTGCGAAGCGGTCTCGGAACCCGGCGCGGTCGAACGTGGGGGTGCGCCTGCCCACCTCGCTGGAGTTGTTCAGGTTTGTGGCGTGGGCCCCCCTCCGAGCGGGCAGTGGGGCCGGGCGGCCCCCCCCCCGCCGCTCCCCCCCCCGGGTCGGCCCAGCTGGCGGTGCCACCGTGCCTGGCAGTTGCTGCTCCGCGCCAACCTCCCCCAGCAGCCACCGTGGCGCGCGGGAGCGGGCCGCGCCACGGGGCAGCGGGACGTGCCGCGGGGGGCCCGGCGGGCGCAGCGCCTCTGGCGCCGCCGCAAGAGGGCGGGAGGAAGTGCCCGCTCCTCGTGGTTCGTCTCTTGGGCGTGGCGCAGGGCCGGAGTGTTTCTCCTCCTCCTCCTGCTCCTGCCTCCTGCTCCTGCTCCTCCTGTCTGCAACCGCGGCCCCAGCATCTCTGACCCGCCCTCCGACAACGAGAGCAGCGCCAGAGGCGGGCGGGAGGAGGGGCCAGGAGGAGGCAGGGAGGCAGGCGGGAGGGAGGAGACAGGAGGGAGGAGGCGCGACCCACTTCAGGTCAGGTGTTGACCTGGGCCAGGCGCCTGGGAACGGGTTTTTGATCGGCCTGACGGTTGCCTGGCTACCAGCTCCTTTTCTCCCATCCTCTCGCATCCCTCCCGCC